CTGGACCGTAAAAGCTAAAAGCACCTGTGATATTATTTTTTAAACTTCTAGAAAGGTTTCCAAACTGAAGATGAACTAATTCTGCAGTGGCACATTTGGTTTGGACGCAGTAAATATTTTTCTGACGTGCCTTTGGTGGGATTGTAACAGCACGATCTTTTATTTCAACAGAAAACTCAGTGGCTGCAAAGTCAGGCGGCTGCTTCCCAGGATCCTCCACGGTCACCCTGCAGGATGGCACCAAGAAGCCGGTCAAGGATCTCCAAAGCGGTGACAGGGTCCTGGCTGCAGACGAGCGCGGAAACCCGATTTACACCGACTTCATCATGTTCATCGACCAAGACTCGACGACCAGGAGGCTCTTCTACGTGATCGAAACCGACTCGGGCCAGAAAATAAGCCTCACCGCCGCGCACCTGCTCTTCGTCGCCCAGAACGGCTCCACGGAGACGCACCGGCGGATGTCGGCGGTTTTCGCCAGCCAGGTCCAACCGGGACAGAGCGTGTTCGTGCTTGACGACGCCGAGCGACTCGTGCCTGTCACCGTTAAACGGATTTACACGCAAACAGACGAGGGCTCCTTTGCGCCGGTGACCGTGCAGGGGACCGTCGTGGTGGACCAGGTCCTTGCGTCCTGTTACGCAGTGATCGAAGACCACGACCTGGCGCACTGGGCCCTGGCACCTGTCAGGCTCGCCCACTGGGTGTCCTCGTTGCTTTTCAGTTCCCAGCAGCCTCCAGTCAGTGCGCAGAGCGACGGAGTGCACTGGTACTCCAAAATCCTTTATCAATTAGGGACATGGCTGTTGGACAGCCACTCGATCCATCCACTTGGGATGTCAGTATACCCGAGTTGAAACCTCCACTACAGGAGCAGAATGAGACTAAACTGTAGGACACACGAACTATTCAGTAGATTAAAAAAAAATAAAATAATAATAATAATTAAAAAAAAAACGAACAAACAGACAAACAAGACAAAGGCCCCAGCGGAGTTGGGATATTTATTTCAGTGACTTTTCCATGATGTGTCCCCTTACAAAGAATGAATGGAGCCTTAAAAAGTTTCTCTTTGAATAATTTATTCTCATGTGAACTCTGCTGCTCTCACAGAAATGGATTCTGAAACGGTGTTGAGCAGCAAATTGTGCATAATCTATTTTTGTATATCTCAAATGCAAAAAAAAAAAAAAAAAAAAAAAAAAAAAAAAAAAAAAAAAAAAAAAAAAAAAAAAAAAAAAAAAAAAAAAAAAAAATGAAAGAAAAAAAATGAAGAAAAAAAATGACAAAAAAAATAAACGAAAAAAATATCGCAAAGAGAAAGAAGATCATGTAGAACGGAGCTAACTTTGACAGGTTGTAATGTTCATATGTGCATATATGTGCAACTGACTGTTATATTTTGGGGAGAACAAACTTCGCGGGGTTCCATAAATTATATTTTTATACACAGAATTGTAAATTAGATTTTGACAGATCGCTACCGAATCACATTTCGTTATTTGAAATAGTGTAAGATATGAGAATATATTTTAATTTAAATACAGTAGTTGGGAAAGTATTGGACAAAAAAATCTTGTACTGCTTGGTTTATTAAGAATTTTATTATTTTGTAAAACTGTTCGTTTAAGTTGTCGGAGAGGGACAGATATTCTGCCTCATGTCTGCATTCTCTGCTTTTTTTTTGTTTTTTTTTCTCTGTGTGCGTGTTTCTATTTTTCTGTTTTCTTCTGAGGAAAAAAATATTAAAATGCAGATTCTGACAATTCAGTAACAGTTAAAGTAGTACTGAAACAGTTTGGTTAAATAAATTAATAAGTAACTCCTGTAAATGTACTAAAATGTTATTTTTCTTTTCATATTTTGTAATAGGGAAATAGTTTTATAGAAATGACCTGCGGCAGATGCACAGTTTGGATAGTCTATATAGCCAGACCATACCAGTTAACTTTCATAACAGGGCGATGTGTCAAAAAAATGTCTAGAGTTTATTATTTATATGTTTATTACAAAATGAGATAAAGAAAATCTTCAAACTTGCAGTTGTTACATGTCTTTGTCTAAATGAGCTCCGCGGAAAGAGGAACCTTTTGACTGCGTAATGAGGCATTTTCTGATCAATCTAAGGGCTTAATTAATAAATAAATCAGCAAAAACTTGTGCTGACATTTCCACTTTGGCGCAAACATCCAACATTTGGATCTAATTAATTATACCGACTGTTTTACATTGTGATGGAGCACTGAGAGGGCCAGCAAACAATTTCACCCCATTTGGCAGCTTATACAAAAAAATACTTTGAAGTACCTTTTGCATGCTTGCGAAATGTGGAGAGCCCATGTCAAATTTAACGAGGTCTGTCCTGCGCAAATAACTTCAAACTTGCGCAGACAAATTAAACACGAGCGTGTTTGTCGGGGGCCTCGGGTCTGTTGCTTCGGTGTCTGCGAGCTTGAGGTCAGATTGATCCATCAGTGACTGACAGTCGGTTCCTGCCCGGAATAAAGCGACGCATTGTAGTCGGTGGTGCAGTTGGAAATCACAGCTCCGTTAGTCCCGACAAATCACCATAATCCTCCAGTATTTTCATAGAGACTTATTGTGTTAATAGTGAGCTTTTAGTGATGGATTTTTTCCCTCTGCGGTATTAGGCTGCACATCTTTGTCAAATTGATTACAGCATCAGTTTCTCCCTGGAGTCTGGAGCTCGTTACGCAATGCAAGTGCGACACCGTGTGGCGAGACGGAGGTACTGCTGGTGGGGGAAATGTGCTGCAGATGGGAGTTGCCAATGAATGACATGAACACTGACTTCACTCTTGGAAAAAGGAGCAACAAATGGAAAATCTAAATTAATTACTACGAAAAAAATGATTTGTTGACAACATAAAGGTATTAACTTTACTGTCATAGAAGAAGAGAGAAACTGCTTTCAGCCAAAAATGAGTCAAATCGAACAATTATCAGAAAAAATAATTTAACACTTGAAAACTCACTGATTATTACTGCAGCTTTCGTTCATTTCTTACCATCAATATAAGCAAAAAAATCTACAACTGAACCTTGCACGACAACTGATTTAACAGAACGTCACCCTGATTCTAAAATCTCCTGGAGGCGACCAAATCAGAGCTAAAAATCTGGATTAATTCACAGCATTCTCTGTCTGGCTTTAAATTAGAACTTTTTTGAATGGGATTTGGTTTGATGATGGTAATGGGAGATTCAGAGTGTTATAAAGCAAACTGAAGTACTTAATACTTCATAAGGATTAAGCTAGATGTTTCAGATTAAATTATACAGATGTGTGGAGAAGCAGAATTACAAAGAGAGGCCTCTCTTTGAGAAACTTATCCTGATTCTAAAATCTGATGGAGGCGCCCAAATTGGAGCTAAAAATCAGGATTAATTCACAACATTCTCTGTCTGGCTTTAAATTAGAACTTTTTTGAATGGAGTTTGGTTTGATGATGGTAATGGGAGATTCAGAGTGTTATAAAGCAAACTAAAGGACCTCACACTTTATAGGGATTAAGTCAGCTGCTTTAAACGCTACAGATGTGTAGAGAAGCAGAATTACAAAGACAGCCCTCAAATATATGAAAATAATGGAAATCTATCATGGCTTTACAACTCCAGGATCACAAAAGTGATAAAAGCCATCCGTCACCCAGATTTATCAAAGGTAAAAGGGGCCACTGAACCTGAGTTTCTGAACTGTTGCAACATGAGCAGGAATTCCATTTTCTTCTCCCACATTGTGTTTTGTTGTTGATATTGTGAGGTGGAAACTTCAGGGAGGGACAAAGCGGCCCATCTCTCCCAGCACTGTGACCTTGGGTCCCTGTCAGATACAAAAGCGTCTGTGCAGGGCAGCATTCCTCAGAGCAGGTAAACAGAGCCTCCTCTAATCCCTCTGGGGGCCCTCAGTCTGCTGGAGCTCAACAACGGCTTTTACAAATGTTGACATTTGCAAACATGAACAGTCTGGCATTCTGGAAAACAAAACACCTCGTTTCTAAGAGAGATCTGCAAATGGCAGAGCTCGCTCTTTTCCAGGCTGCGTTTGCTCGACTGTGGCAGCGACCGGGCGAGAGGGCTGAATGCGTAAGAGGTGAGTCGGAGGGAAACGAGAAGGAGGTGGTCCAGAACGATACACCTTTATGACTACATCCTCCTTCAGTGTCATTAAACTGAAGGAGGGAGCGGAGCTTTTTAGAAACGTGAAGATTTGGGGAAACGGCCTCATAAAGGATGAACAAGTAGATGAGAGTAGATACACTAAAGAGCGACACCTCTTCAGAGAGATATTAACACGATTGTGGCCAAAATAAAGAGGAAACTATGAGTTTGGCAATTAGAGCAACCACATAAGATCACTGAAGTTGGTTTTGGCTCTGAAGGCAAGTTACTGAACCCAAAAGTGAACCGATATAAGTCTGAATCACACCACATGCATCACACTTGATCCCCCTTTTCTTTTTCTCTACATTAGAGCTAATTTCATTCAACACCAGCAGACAACCAAGACAGTCTGCAACAGTCTTAGGTTTGAAAATCATATGCAGCATCATAACACGTCACTAGTAGGTCCACATACCTCGTGTTCTTGTCTTTGTGGATCTCAGAAGACCTCAGATCAGCAGTTCCCAACCTGCGTAACAGAAGCTGCAAAATAAATCTGGGTTGCAAGCAAAATACTCTTCTGCTGATCAAATACACACAATTCCCCCCACATTAATAAGTATTAATACCCTCTCGAGCTTTAAATGAAACAATCTGACAGGTTTGTTGAAGGAAATCACAACTCAGGACGAGGGGACTGAAGTTTCATCTAAATGCATCACCAGCCAACTCAAGGTTGGGAAACGCTGCTTCAGAGATGGGACTCATTCCAGCCGACTGATTTGCTTCTGGCTACAGAATCTTGTTTGTTTTGAACCTAAAGTGATAAAGTGCAAACCACCCCGCGTTACACAAGAACAGAAGAAACACAAGCGTTAAGATGTGCATGAAAAAGTTTATTTTCCGTCTGTTTTCGGTATCAAATTTAACATCTTTACAAAAATATATCTTCTTAAATCTTTATCTTTTTTTTTGCAAAAATCACATTTTACAGTATCAGAACAGATTGCACAGTGATTTCAGAATAATCCAACACAAGATGACTTGATAAGACACATCAGTGTGAAGGGTGAGAACAATCGACTAGATGCTTTGTGAACAGTTCATCAAAACTCAAGAGGTCGGAGCTTCAGTAAGCATTTGGTGCACCATGTTGTTGAAGATGATGAAACCAGTGGAGTGTCTTTTTTTTCTTTTCTTTTTTTTTTAAGAAATCCAACCAAACAATGAATGTCAAGGAGCTGAGATGACCTTTGGTGCAGTGAAAGTCATAAAGCAGCTTGCTTTAGTGTCTGCTCTGTGAACCCGGCTCTCGTCACAGAGATGGAAACCTCCATCCACTGGGCTAACAAACAATGGTAATCCAGGCAGGCCAATCTGCTTAATACAGAAGTTTTAAGTTCATTCAACAGCAGCATCAAGGAAAAGACGAGCGAGACTTTGTGTACAGTAACGTTGGAGGAACGGCGATGGAAGAAAAGCAAAAAAAAAAAAAAAATGGAAGAGAAATGTGACCCGATTCTCTGAACGCAGCAACAGCTATTCAGTGAAGGAAGCAAGTAAAATCTTCACCCTGAGGCCGGAAACAGGACGGCTGTGAAAAAACCTGAAGTGTTGAGCGAATGAGTTAAAGCAGAGCAGGTGACAAAGCAAGAGTCATGTATACGGCTGATGACTGGATCCTCGGTACGCTGTTTAAAAAAATGCACGTTAGTCCCAGAGGTTATTCTGCTGTGGTGATGATTCCGACACAAAAATCAATGACACCGTCTCAACCTCAAGCAGCTCAGTGTGATTAAACAGGAAGCACCGCCAGTGACCGGACCATACCAGTGGTTCTGTATGCTTTTTCTCAACCCGTTTGTACCTCTCAGACTTGGAATTTTGCATAACTCACAGGTCATTTGACAACATTAAATGCGGGGTTTTTTTCTGGTGTATTGCTGAGTACAGTCAATTAAGAATAACTAATAAAACCACGAGAGAATTTCGTCTTTGTTGTTTAGCAGAACTTGAGGGAAAGCTGTTCATAAAACCTTTAACTCACTGAGTAAAGTCTTCAAAACAGCAGTAAATGATGTCAAATGACCTGCTGGGTTTTTCAACGGAGGTCTTAAGATGATTCAATTAGAGGTATAAACTGTGGCTACTTGTGTCTCACATAAGAACCTACAATAACCGTCAAGTGAATTATTATGAAACAAGAAGGGGAAAAACTGACACAAACTAAATCTGACAGTTTCTAGAACATGTTGGCACAGACAAAAAACTGCCACCTTGAAGTTGGAAACAAAAAATCTATGATGTATGAAGTGGCTGATTATGGTGATTTGACTAAAACATGCCGAACCCTTGGTGTGGTCACTTAGCCTGGCTTTTTAATCACACTGGCTGCTTGTGTCACGGCTCTGCTGAAGTGGGTTCGACCTGAAGAGAAAGAAGGGAAGAAAAAAGAAATTAATATTCCAGCACATCTGCAAAATCTCAGCATCCTTCATCCCCTAAAGTACCTGCAAAATAAAGCTTTACGTTAGTGTTGTGTAGAACCCAGCCCAGTAACTGACTTGTATGAATATTCTGGTGTCATTAGCAGCCATAGTGAAGGTCTACTATGCAAACATAATAAAAACCAACTGACATCTGATAGACAAGCCTTCTCTAAAGGCTCCACTAAAACCCCATGAGGCAGTGTGATTAGAAAACCACGCTGCTAGTTAAATTACCAACTGTAAAATCACGTTATGATGAAAATTACTTCATCAAATCTAAAAATAATCACATTTCATATATGTAAGAACCTCTTCAGATTAAGGTACAGTTAGATCCAATATGAATCTGTTCTGGCGTTACGAGACCAAACGTCTCATAACAATATCGCTACGACTGGCATTGCCGGTACTCTTTCAAATCCACAGGATTCACCACAGCGCTAAAACTCAAGTGTAACCCACAACATGGAAACACAATAAATACACAATGTCAGTAAACAAAAACCTCTACAACAGCTCGACAACTCAAAAGCAAAAGGAATCAAACATAAATAAGTCAGTTTAGAAACAGTGCAACAACATACAAAAAAAAAAAACAACAAAAAAAAAAAATTTGAAACCACGTAACCTCAAGTTTTACAAGGAGAAGGGCTTTTAGGGGTTCAGACATTTTCCACACACCCCGTTTGTACCAATACCTTTAGTACTTGTATGTTGAAATGTAGCTACCTTTACTGGCAAGAATCTAATATGTGCAGCTTATTTGAAGACTCTTCTTCTTTTTTTTTCTTTTTTTTTAAGTTGATGGCTAAATTAAGGGAAATACCACTAAATTTATGAATGTGCTTCACACCTGCAGATGGGACAGCAGCAGTACTTGAGAACCTGAACCACTATTTCTTAAACAGCGAAATCAGGGAACTTGACCTGTGATGTCATCCAGATGCACAGCCAGGGGTAGGTTTCCTCAACGTTAATAAAATACTGCAGATTAGAAAACGATATTCTCCAAATTTTCCCTCAAGCCCAAAACTATCTCCCTCTGAAATCACATAAAACCCAAAGGTTGTGTTTCTCATCTCATGAAGCTGCACATTAGTATGACATCACGGTTAAATTAGCAGGCCAAAATTTTTATTGTTTCTGACTTTAAAGCAAATAAATTTAGTTTCAAAATTCAGTGACATTCCCCTTAATCTTTATGAGGTAGTATTTCTTGCCATATTGTTGTTATAGCCAGTTAATCTACAAAAAATGAGAAATATTCTAAAAAAAATAAGTCTAATCCAAAGGTAGTAAATGGCTTTTTAAAAGTATATATGATGCAGTGTAAATTACCCAGGAACTTACAGAGTACGTAAAGTACAAATGATTAAAAATGTGGCACAAATAATAACGGTACTTCATCATAAAAGGCACCAGACACATGGACATCACACACAAGCACACATCTTTGGGCTAAAGTATAACCGGCTTCACATACCCGCATGTTCACGGTATATTGGCCATGTTTTTATTTTCTTGTTTTCCCTTAAACTTCTTGTCAAATGTCTTATAAACAGAAATGTGGTCCAGTCATTCCTCATTTTAGCTCTAAAATAAAAACAAACCACGTGTAAAATGATTTCTGTCTGGACACATCAGCATATCCTTACATATAAAAACGATACAACATGAGGTAACAATAACGGAAAGAAATTCAGCAAGATAAATACTGAGTGAAACTTCTGGCCTACTTATGTACAGGATCACTACGCAGATAATGGTTGCCCCGCCCTCGACTTCAAATAGCGCAATCCTTCGTCAAACGCACGCATAATTCACGTCTGAACTTTAGTTGTTAGCGAATGTGGTTGAACGACGTGTGAGCTGTTTCAACTTTAAACCCAGAATCAACAAAAATGTTACATGATGAAAGAAAGAAAAATTACAGAGCGGCAGAAGTTAAGCCTAACTGATGAGCTATATTTATTAAATAATGATGTTTCATGAGATAAGATTTAAAGTCAGAAATGTAAACTATGTAGCATTTAGAGAATTTAAGGTTTCAGTGATGTGGTAGCGCTCCCCAAACGAGGGCAAATCCTCAGAGAAAATCAAAACAAAGTGATGCAGTAGACAGCATACAAGTGTAGCTACTTACAATTTCTCAAACATCTTTGAAGAAATTTGAGCTTTTGTCAGGATATTTAGGACAATGTACCTGCATCACAACAAGGGGAACTTCATTTATAGAGTATTATGGTGAATTTCCTTTACGGTTCTTCTCTTTTATCTAAGCCAAATGATTTACGTGACGGAAAACTGTTGAAAGTGCTATTGAAGGTACAATACGCAGCTCAGTGATAAGGCACCAAATTATCAGCTGATAGTCACATGAGTTCAGGCCAGCTATTCCCAATTCCAGAGAAAAGTAAGGAATGTATCTGTGCAGAGCTTTACAGAAATGTGTTTTGATCCTACGTAGACCTGCAGCCAATTCTTTCAGAGCTCCCAAATATGACAAATCCTCAACAACATACATTTAGATTGTAATCAATAAAAAAATCTCTACATACACACTCCCTCAAGACACACTCAGCACAGGCAAGACAATAAACTGCAATATAAATCAGACGTACAGCTACAACACATCCCAAATTAATTCCAGTTAACAGTTAAAGGATAACAGTCGAAACAAAGAGCAATGCCCAATGACCGAAAATGAACCTACATGAGAGGGATGATTGGAACTATCTATCCAGGAAGCAGCACTGAAACTGAAAAACACCAGAAAACCTATTTGAGAGGCAACATTTACAATCTCACAAAACCCACTTGCAATTTAGGAAACAAATGTTACGGATTCAGTCAGTGTTCTCTGTCAAATGTTTAATCCTCACACCCAGGCCACCTCTGCGCCTGTACGCAACATCCCCACTAGGTAGTGCCATCGACCAATAAACTGACGAGAGACGGTACCTGAGAGCAGGCTTGGGTTGGAAAGGATGAAGCGTCAATAGTGATAAAATGCTGCCATCTACTGAGGGGGAGAAACACTGCGAAGGAGAAGCCCATACGGACAGGCAGACCACATTCTGCCAAAACCATTACCTGCATGATAAGCAAACAAAAAAAACACTACGAAGAGGTCATGTTCGAATCATTACGTTCGAGGGCCCTTTTGCATTTCTTACTGTGACTCTCGCTTAAGAGAGGAGCAACCATTATCCCATGATAAATTCTACTTAGTGTCCGAGTAAGATGCAAAAAAAACATTCTTTACAAACTACATCAAAGTAGGATTAACTGTCCAGTGTCTCTCCAGTGCCATTTTATTTTTTATACAACTACAGACATCTGGCAGGCAGTCAAACACAGGCATGCTCGCAGCTAATGTCTTTGTGTTCACTGCTCCAAGCCGACTGGAGACGAACGATGAACGATGCTTCTGTGCAGAGACGTTGAATGTCAAGTGACCCCAAAGAGATGATGGAATATTCTTAGACCAAGGTAGAGTTGTGCACGAGGCTCCCGCGTCGGGAGGAAGGGACTTCGCGTAACAGGACATCCTGGGTTTATTGTGCTCCTCATCCATCAATCAGCGACACATCAATGTGGGACAAATCAATCATATGCCTGCGTGGTAATTGTGAGAAATTTTTAACCACTGTGGACCGACTTACTGATGCTTACAGCAGCTACAATCTGAGAGCGTCACACTGGCAACATGCAAAGGCCTACCACGGTGTGTGCTCACTTAACTGTCACGTCTATTAGAAGGCAGAAGGAATGCTGATTACCTGTGGAAGCTCATCTGGAAGCTTGCTGCGTGCTGGGGACTGGAAAATGTGGCGAGCGCTTTCCTCTGCTGGGGAATCATTTTGAACATCTGCAGTAAACAGAAACGGAACGGACAAACTGAATACAACTGGATACTCCTCTCATCCACAAGAGGGAGTGGGGGTGGTGAAGAGAAATGGAATAATTAATTCACTTTTACAACCTAACCTACCCAATCGCTACAACAGAGGGCGCTATGGGATCACACATGCGAATGTTTCATTACTTCGGTGGGTGCAAGTAATCATCCATTTTTCAAAGTTTTCGGGTCGAGGCGCTTGTCTAAATGTAGAACTGACTTTCAGACACACGTGTTGTTATTTGCTGCTACTTAACCTGAGCTGAGTATTTTGCTACTCTCTATGCAAATTAAGATTCTTTAAAAGCACAGAAAGTCACAAAAAGGTGCAAAAATACTATTAAAAAAAAAAAAAACAGTGTCAAGCTACGACGCATTCAACGCCTACCTCTATGGGGCCGATGGACCTGAGAAGGTTCTTCAGCTGCAAGTCGGTTGTAGATGAGGAGAGGCCCTCGATGGAGACGGTGCAGCATTCCCTCTCCGCAGTTCTTTGGCTCTGTCTGGTGGACATTGGACGACCTCGGCCTATCTGAGCGGCCCCTCTGCCTCGGCCCCGGCCCGACACAACAACCTACCGCGACACAAGAGTAGGAGAAATCGCCACATGAAGGAGAAAATAAAGAGGGAAGTGAAGAGACAAAACGGCGAAAATACAGACTAGACCGTTTCCTGCTTAAACAGACGTGCTGATGCATTCAGCCATGTGGAGGGGTTTCTCAGCACAAAGGTAAATTTAAATTTGAAACGCCGCGTGTTTTCCTCTTGCACCTCTCAGACTCGTCAGGCTTTTACATGATTGACTCATCATATTTCTACATTGAACATTCACGTCAGAACGTGACGCATGTGGCATGGCATATCTTCATATGAGCTTTTGAGTGAGAGGTATGTTTCTTGAGCTGCAGAGGAAGAAGAAGAAGAGGAGGAGGAGGAGGAGGGAGAGAACCCAAAAAGAAGGGAGAGGAGGTTGTGTGTGTGTGTGTGTATGTGTGTGTGTTGGGGCGGGGGAGCATAAAGGGAGAGGAGCCATGCAAGCGTTATGGTGGCTGCCTTACCCTGTCAGCGTCAGTGAGTATGGTAACTGTGACAGGAGCCTGGTGGTGACAGGCGTGCAGAGAGGCCAGGGGACCTTGTGTAGCCCCCTGTGTTACACTGTTTTCAGCTTGTCAATACTCCCGCACCTGGCATACTGTCCTGTCTTATTACAACTACTGCTCGATTGGTATGTCTACTGAATGCCAGGGTAGAGCCACCGGAACAGGACAACTTTACAGGAGACATTTCGGCTTCTTTTATAGAGCAGCTGCCATTACGCATGCAGTCTACACTGTTAATAAATACATTTTAGGTGAAGTGGTTGCTAGTGTCCACAGCACGCAAGAAACCGAGAGCTCATTTATGACATACCCTATTTTGCTGTGGGTTGCCCATGCCCCCTCGGCTAGCCGGCGGTGTGCCGCCTGGTCCCTGTTGCTGCTGTCCTGTCATGGTAACCTTCCTTTGGATGCCCTGGTTAAGCGGAGATGCTGGCCAGGTGCCTTGTTGCTGCACTGGGCCGCTGGTGGCCTCAGGCCCCTTTCCACTCTGGATGGGGATGATGGAGGACAACACTAATGTAGTATTCCGAACAAAAAATCCAGCCTTTATCTCCATTTGCAGGCATCACAAATTCATGCTCACATTAAGCATTTAGGCAAAGTTGCTTTATGGACGACTGGGAGAAATGCAAGGCCATATCTACAAAGTAAACTGAAAATCTGGCAGCATTGGAGCTGGATTCCTATCAGACCGGCTGTGGAGAATAAAGATCAACCCAACAAGGTGATGGTCTCATTATCAAATAAAGTCACAGCTCAACTCTGTTGACATGCAGGGAGGAATTGAAGGTCGTCTCTTTCCCGACTCTGCAGAAAGATGTGACAGATCAATACAAGGGAAGAAAAGAGGCGATATCTCTGACCTGTCCCCAGCTGAGAGTAAATGGATTAATCCCTCCTATAGAAATCACAGCTCCTGATTGCACCCATCAAATGCTAAGCTGCATTACACTGGAACGACAGCAGCTCGATGTGTACCCCATCCCCCTTGCACACCCCCCTTCTCCCCAGCTTTTGTGTCTTGCGCTGCTTTGTATTATCCCTGATGAAAATATAATTTGCCTCTTATCTGTGTGCCTAAGCCATACAAATCCAAATCCTCAAAAGTGGCAACTTTCTTACACAGGTATTATGTTAACCCCCCCTCCTCCCCCTTCAACCAAGAAAGATTAATTACAAGGGTCTTGGATTGGCATCTTTTGTTGCCTCGCACCTGAGAGATGGAATGATGGAAAAAAGCAACTGAGGGATGACAGAGAGGACGAGAGTGAGAGAGAAAAATAAGAAGAGAGGAGATAACATTGTCAAGCTCCCGCTGATGACAGCAGAACAATGTGGAAGAGGGAGCATCTAGAGAATCGTCCCTTTCACTGCAGCTATAGGCCTTAGCTGTTTCTTTCTGTTTCCATCTCTCTTTCTCCACTTCACATCCCACTCCCCTTTTTTCTTCAAGATGCGGTACATCAGATAGCTCTGCGCAGGTTTCCATTAACGCAGTGACACCCAGTTATCTTCATCTGCAGCCAGCCTGCGATTTTGGCTCGGCGGCTTGATCCTCTGGGATGAAGTCGGAAAGCAGCTTATTTCAAATACTATCACATCCCACCAACATGTCTCATCAGTGACAAGTATGAATGTTTAACATGCATGCCTTTGTGGTTTTTCAATAAAGATTAATGTGCAATTAAGGCCACAGCAGTAACGTAGCAAGCAAATATAAAATAACCAGCAGTGGTAATTCTGGACTTTATCTGCGTTACCGTCGGTCTTATTTTACCCTCTCTAAGGCCTCTATCTTTAAAAGAATACTCCCCTGTCCTGAAAAGAGGATATCAACCTTTAAGAGCTTTGATGAGGTGTCCCCAACTATACAGATAAATGTCATACTTCTCTCTTTAATGCCTGCAGCCTTTCTATGTCTTAAAGGTAAAATGTACGTAAAAGGCATTGTGGCTTAAATACCAGTTCCCAAAGCTTAAGAGAGGAAACTCTTAACAGATCAATTTTGCCAAAATGACACAGACATCACTGTGTCATTCCCATAGGTTAGATATCATCTAGATTACAAAAAGACAGAGAGGGCAATCAGTGGCATTTCCTTTCAAAACTATGTAGTTTCCCTTGTGAGTAAAATCTGCTGAAGAGGATCAAATAAATGTCAAACCAAAACACAAAAGAAGGTGTCAGATAAAAATGAAATCGTACACTTACCGCTCCTGAAAGTTTGACGACTCTGACTTTTTGCGGCACCTGCTGGTCTTCGAAACTAGAATTCTTGGCCCGCTGCATCACAGTTCTTTTAGCCCCGGGTTTAGCTCCTTGAGTCTGAGCCTGGCCAGGGTTCACCGAAGGAGTTACAGGTATGTTCTTTTGAGCACCCTGAATAGACTGGACCTGAGCACCGGGTCTGTTTACGTTCTGCAGATTACTGTTTGTTCGTTGCTGGTGCGGCTGCGGCTGCTGCTGCTGCTGATTTTGCTGTTGTTGGTTCCACTGTTGATCTGGAACAGGCCCGGGAGTCGGTTGCTGCTGGGTGCTGCCTTTAACCATCTGCAGTCGCGTCTTGACATTGGGACGCAGTGCAGGGGTCTGAGCAGCGCTGCTGGCAGGGATGGAGTTGCCCTGATTAGGATTCCTTAGTGTCTGATTTAATGATTGCTGTGTTCTCTGAGGAAACGGTCTCTGCTGTTGTGGCTGCAATTGTTGCTGCTGTTTTTGTTCCAGCTGTGGCGGCGGCTGCTGTGGTGGTAGTGGTTGTTGTTGTTGTTGTTGTTGTTGTACAGGGTGTGGTGTTTGCGGATTTGGTTGTGCAGGCTGAACCTGTGGAGGAGTGGGGCCTTGGCTTGGTGTCTGGGCATTAAGTCTTTCCAGCAGCTCCTTCTTTCTCATGCCAGCCTGCATCTGTCGTCGCATCTCTTTCCTCTTCAGGATCTCTTCTCTCAGACGTTTCTGCTCCTCAATCTTCATGCGATACTGCCGCGTCTCCTCGTCCTCATCAGGGTCCTGTGGCACAAAACAGAAACTGAATATAGGACTCAAATGGCAGCTGTGGACCACCGTGTCCTGTTTGAGCCATACTGTATGGCTTGACACTCAAATGTAATTGAAGTCAAAATCCATGAGAAAAATGTGACTGTATTGATCTGTTCTTTCCAACTGAATGAGACTGACGTCATAAGCAAGTTTATGATTTGGCTTTTTTAGTGTATTCTTAGCATCAAGTTTACAGTACACTTTTGGAAGAATAATTGACAAAAATAATTTTATTAAATAATTTGTGCATGATTCAAACAAACTCAATGTTTACAGTTTGTTTTCACTCTATGGGCCAATGGGGAAAACCACAAAACTCGTCTAAAAAAAAAAAAAGCTGACCTGTGGTGCCGTGCTTGACGGTGTGCTTGGGATTTCCTTGCGAATAACTGTCCTGCCTGCTCCCCCGGGCTGTGGTTCGGTCTTTGCAGCAACTTGGCCTCTTCCTCTTCCACCGTAAGACATCGGCTGAGTGTTCTGCCCAGGACGCATCCCCGGTGTTGTCTTGGCAACAGGCTTGATGTTGGCAGCGGGGAAGGCGGGGGTGGTGGCAGGGCGGGTACTGTTCATGTTTGTGTTGCCAGGTGCTACAGGGAGCTCCCGTAGGTTACTGTTGCGCTGCTGCATTTGCTTGGAGACAGGTGCGTTCTGTAGATGGGAAAACGTAAACATTTCCTGTCGTGTCTTGAATCAATCAGATTCTAAAATACATTTAAATTCTATCCGTTTTTGCCCACACTGGGTTTTGCTTACTGAGGAAAATACTGACAGAATAATGTATAGTAATTAGACTGACAGTGATAAAATAGAACCCCCATATATCTGTTAACAGTTTGAACAGAAAATAGATGAGCTAATATGTTAATCTCTCACCATTCTCTGCCTGTTGGACATGTTGCGCTGTTGGGGGTTCTGAGGGCGGGGAGTCATCTGCCTGGGGCTACCATGCGCCTGCTGTTGATGAAAAGGATTCTGGCCATGGCGCATCATGGGGCGAGGCTCACCGAGACTGAGCTGTTGCTGCTGATGATGATGGGGTAAGTCCTGCCTATGGTGCGGCTGCTGCTGGTGCATGGGCTGATGGGGTGGCATTTGGTCATGATGTGGAAGCTGGGAGACAGGAGGGCCGTGCATTAAGCCCTGAAATAGCAGAAAAAGCAGCAAAATGCACATTTATTATATTTATTACATTTTTTAGAAACTACACAAACAGCATTCTTATGAAAGTTATTCTCAACATTAAAATGGGCAATTTGTGAATACTTGCAAACTGGTGTCTACATGTGTCCACATGATAGCGCTACAATATTGATTCAAGCACTAGAGGGAGCTCTTGTCTACGTCTATTGACAAAAACGCAGAGGTGCCAAACAGACATGTGTCTCTTTCTTCAACACTTGAGTAGCACTGAATATGGTAACTAGTCAGATCAAATTACCATATTTAGCAAGCAAATCCAAGAAACAATTGGAGAAGGAGCAGAGAAATAGAAACACAACTGCTGAACCACACAAAGACACATATATTGGTTATAAAAAATCACTTACTCTTAGTCGTACCTGCATCCCAAACTGAACTTGTGGAGGGGGGAAAAGGTTCCCCTGCTGGCCAAATGGCTGACGAGGGCCCATGAAAGGCCTGGGCTGGTTAGGGGGGCCACCTTGTTGATTCAAGTTCACCATCCCCTGGTGACTCTGGTGGGGAGGGAGGTTGGGTCTGGGGGGTTCTCTGGGAAACAGTCCTAGTGGGCCCTGGCCAGGCTGGTTAAAGGCTGGTCCTGGTGGGCCGAAGCCCATGTGGCCCGGGCCGGGCAGCTGCTGCTGGTGGAGGTTGTTGCCGCTGTTCATCAGAGGGCTGGGGCCCTGGTGATCAAACATGTGCTGCCCTGGAAACCGTGTTGAATCTGAGCGTTCTGTGTTCACACAAGGAAGGCGAAATAACAACAACGCAACAGAGATGTCAGGTTTTTTTCTCCTTCGGAGCAAATTTCAATACACCAGTAACTGCATCTCCAGATGTACACTGTTATGGAATGGGGAAACACAAAAAGACAACTCCATCAAGGTAAAAGTGGGTTATTCACTCTGCAAAAAAAAAAAAAACGCAAGTAAAAAACGCAAAATATGTATGTTTAATGCCATTTCCAAGGTTCATTCATATGTATATATGATATACACACACATGCATTTAACATGAGTTCTACTAATAGAGCAGCACCAGAAGGCAAGCAGCATACCCTGTAGGTATAGTGCCAGAGGTGATGATAAATAGGGTTAAGTATGCTAAGAGCTTTGTAACCCTCGTCAAGGCTGGGTGTGAGACTCACCTCCCATAAAGAGGGGTTCTCTGTCCTGGGGGCCTTGAGGTGGCTGGTTCCTAAAGGGCTCCATGTGATGAGGGGGCCGCTGGGGCTGACCAAAATTACCAGGCATGTGCTGCTGGAAGTCTCCCGGTCCCTGGGAAAACACAAAACTCATGAATTATAGGCCATTCTGGGAACTCAAAAATCACAAACAAATTAAACTAATGAAAAATGGGAATTTGTGGGGTATTGCATCGGGCAGGGAGTGCTTGTAATTGAAGTGCTAGGGTCATTAAAAAGACGCTGAATCTTGGGTTGTAAACATCAATATGCATGACAATATTAAAGAAACCCTTCAGCATGAATTTGTGAGCAAACCTGCATTAATGCTACGTGGGGCTTTGTTGATAAACCTTCTAAAAGCCCGTCTCTAACAAGGAAAGGGTATTTCAGGAGGGGATAAGTGCCCTCATCTTTGTTTCAACCACTTCGTATGTTCGACAGCTTTCTACTCATTGCATGCACGCTACTCCCAATCTATCTTCCAAGGAAAACTAGATAACAACCATTTAATCCCTCCTTGGAATTCGAATCCCCCTCATAACTGTCTCCTTTATTCTTTTAAACATCCATCTCTGTTGAAAAATTAACCTGCTATTCAACACGTGGCACTTCCACAAATGGGCTGCTTGCCTCCTCCAAGCCTATTGTAAATTACTTAAGATGCTATCAAGGCTTAATCCATCTTTATTCCACTGCTGTGTGGAGGTATTTAGAGAGGAGAGGTGTTAGAAAGCTAGAAGGCCAGAGTCCCAAAAACTTGCTTAACATAAAGTTAATCAAAGGGGCTTACAAAGACAGGGGATCACAATGGGGGCACAATCATACCGTTCTAAAAGGTCAGGCAGGCAGGTTTTCACAATGAGGACTCTGGTGTCCATATAATACCCCCCAAATAACACAGCTCATCCTCTCACTTTTAATCCTTGATAAACAGTCTGTGGGCTGCTCAATATGTAACTGATGCTTCGATAGCTCGTAGCTGTGAGGGGATAACCGAGACAAATGTAATGGAGAGGGGCCAAATGTCAAAGCATTTAATAAAGAATGGAAATTTGAGTTTAAAGAGACGTTTTGTTTCTGGGTTACATGCTGACGTCTTAGCCAGGATCAATAAAGACTGACAGCGTACACCCGTATACTCTTTGTTTTCAAGGCATTAAACGCTATTGTGAAGAGATCACGGTTATGGAGTAGAGATTGCAACCACGTGCCAGCAAGAGGGCATTATTTTGAAATAGGGAACAAGAAGTGAACAAAGCTCATACTTGCAGCATTTTCAAATAGTGTGGTTGGTGGTGAAGCTAAAATAATTAGTCAAAGCATTAGTCGATCAACATGTGCAATAATTAGGATAAATGATACATAGTTTAAGTATATGTTAATATTTACGTTTTTTTTCCTTCTACAATAACAGACTATTATTTTTAACTGCTTGTCAGATAAACGAGCAAGCTGAATGTCAAGGTTGGTCCTGTGCAATTTTAAAGGGCATATTTTACTCTTCTTTTTTTTCTTTTAATATATATAATTTTTTCAATCAATTACTCTATTGAGGATGGGCTGCAGCCAATCACAATAATCATGAGCTGCAGCTACTTTGTAGTGAAAATAAACGTCTGAACTGAATAAATATTCCTAATAATGACTTTAATTGGCGTTGAGATTAATATTTCAAAACCAGTCTCCACCAGCAAAAATGTAATGCAGTAATACTAGAGGCTATGACCCCCCATTTGCCTGGCCTTTTAACAATTAAATTTGATGGGATGATAATGTATGATAATCATGAGTAATCAGGTGCCCACTGATAAATGGAATGTTGCCGGCTGGTATGTCACCTGCATTTCAAATTGTGTCCTTGGCAACAGCAGCCTAAACGCGATTGACAGCTGGGAAATCCAACACTATGCTGTTCATCATCCCAAGTGTCTGCATAGCCTTCCCACCCCACATTCTACTGTCTGATAAGAGCCAAAGCAGCTCCTTGCAACCAATATCAATATCTCACAATCACAGACCTCAGGGAACAGGAATTGCATGATAATGACACTAAGGGTTGGAAAAAGGTAAATAAAAACACATTTTTTGACAAAGATTGACTCTGGTGGAAAAGCCCAGCTCATTTGGCAGCGGGGTTGTAAATCCACATGAATGCAATTGGATGCAGCTATTTTCCTATGGCTAATTTGCATAAATCCATATAAAATGCACTTTCCAGGAAGATGTCAGTCAGCACCGGCGCCACCTGATGCCTGGGCATCATTAACTAGAAAGATGGAGTAACTTAAGGCACTTTGGCTGACTTTCTAGCGAGCCATTTCCCTCAATACAGTAATTACTTTAAAGGCATTTCTGTCATCTCTTGGATGGGCTCTTTGTGAGTGAAATAAAGGACCTTTTCTAACAGGAAATCACTGACTTAAGACCCCTTTCTCTGGCGTGAAATCCAGCCTTCAGAATATATGGTGCAGAAAAGCAAGAGGCTCACCCCAGCCCCATCAAACCACCATGTTTCACTAATTCAGATACCGTTCAAAAAAGGTCTCTGTGCCTTTGGGACACAAACTTGTGGAAAGTGAATTTTAACTGGCAGTATATCCTGGTTTCACAATTCCATTATGTGCCAAGCTGGCTAGTCTGAGCCCCAGCCCATCCATGAAGAGCTGCTAACTAAGTCCCGCCACTGCAGCCCCAACCTCCAAAAGTCTACAGCCTAAAGCCCCTATCACGCATTTCCAGTTGTGCAGCCAGACTCCTATCAGTGTTTACAGATTTGCTTTAACAGTATTTGGCCAGGGCAGACAGTCTAATTGAAGTAATGATATTGCCCTCACAAAAAGGGACGCTAACCGTGTGAAGAGGGAGAGAAAGTGAGGCGAAAGGGAGGTAGAGGAGCAGCTGCTACTCACAGGGAACCTCTGAGGACCCTCAGCAGGTCTGGGCTGGCTCTGAGCAGGAGGCATCAAGGGCACTGCAATGAGAGAGAGAGAGAGAGAGAGGTAGATACAGAGTGAGGGGGGGGAGGAGGAGATGAAAATGAGAGGCAGTAGGCAGAGAGAGGGTGGTGATAGTAAAAAGGAAGGAGACCATTAGACATCTCCATGCTAAAGGCTCTTAGTTAGGCGTACATGTGAAATTTTGGCTCAGAGTTGCTCCTCACATCTTTACACAATTGGACACAGACCACAGAGCTCAGGGAAAAAATAAACACATGAATAATTTGTTAGACTAAACAAATAAAAGACAGTTGTGGTTTAGCAACATTTGGCACAATTCTTCATGCTACAAGCATTCTGCTTTACAATAAGGGTTAATGAAACTGTACGTCAACTTCTACAAATGGTAAATATTCAATTGCAATCGATCACTTCAAACAAATATATATAAATAAATTACACAGATACACAAAAGAATGCACACACACTGACACACACACACAATCCTAACCACAGGCAATCCCAGATCTTCCAGAACACATCTTTCTCTTGGGAGCGAAACCCAAACTACACACGGTAACATGCTTTGCAAACAAAATTTCAATCTTGGCCTGGACAGACAGGCCAGACAACCCATCTCAGGAAATGAAATAGTGATGCTGCCAGCAAAAATTGGAGGAAAACCCATTACTTGCTCATTCAACCAAACAACAAAATGACATTCTAATCCAGACACCTTTCAGGACGGAGTAAAGATAACTGCCGGCCAAAACAGCACCGTGCCCCTCAAAAGGGCAGCTTTCTGATTAAGTAGCAACAATTTCTGTTAAAATGAAAGCTATGGTTTTCAAACTCAAAACTGAAATGATAAACCTCAGATAAATAATATCTAAAAATATGAATATTAATTGCATGTATGCGTCTTCATGCAAAGAGAAAAAAAATTGACTACTATGGGACTCTAACGCCAATTTGGCACAAGACAAAAAGCATACTCATTTAAATTTAAACACACAGCTTCTAGCTAATGGCTTAAATTTATGTCCAAAATCACAAACAGAATACAATATTTATACAACAACAGAGATTTCTGATATAATTAGCTATATAATTCTAATCTAATGCATCAGTCAATATTGAAAAACACTGTTCATGAATTATGTGCTTGGACATCATCATTCAATTTAAAAAGTTCCTTTACAATAGACATGACCCTTTACTTTGTAGAGGTACCATTCTGTAGTCCCCTACTGGATATCTATTTCTCATATTAAATCTTGGCACACTTCACCATGTGGTGTAAACTCAGGGTTGTCATTTGATGAGGCAACTGGAGGACATAATTAGGAGAGCTTGGTTTGATCAAACATACCTCCTTGTGGCAGAGTTGTTGCCATTTATAAATGCCATTGCAAAATTTGTTTGATGGCTATTACTCGAGCAGCACTGTGGTGAAACCCAGAAAAATACCAGAAAATTGGGGTAATTATTTTAAAACTAGTTGCCTAAAAACATAAAAACAAACAGCACTTGGTTGACACTGGATTAACCTACCTTGTACAGGGGATGATGCAGGCCCTCTAAAGTGGGGGTTAATGTGGATGTTTTTGGGCTGCGGAGGCTGCTGCTGGTGATGCTGAGGGAAGTTGGGGGGCGGGGAGCTCATCATTCGTGGCGGTGGCTCCATCTGGGGTCGCAGTGGCGGGGAGCGATGAGCCATGTGCGGGGGGATGAGGGGCTGAAGGGGCTGCTGGGCCAGCGGGCGCCCATGCTCTTGGAAGGGAGGAGGTCCTCTTGGACGCAAAGGGTGGTGTTGCTGGGACTGCAGTTGCTGCTGATGAGGCTGATGAGGAGGAGGCATTCGTGAGGGTGGCTGTTAATTGGAAAGAGACGGGGAAACGGAGAGGAGGGAAAGCCAAAACAACCTGTCAAAACACATTTCTTTCGAGAAGATTCTGATATCATTACTTGCAGCCACGTGAAGACGCACCAACAAGTCAATTCACCAGCGAGAACGAAGATGGTATAAAATATGTTCGCGTTTATAATGTGTTTTCTTTGGAATTTGTACACGTGAAGACAACCTTGGCAGAATCACAACATACATTTTTAAAGTGAGCTAGTACAGGTAAGAAAAAACAGTAACCAACACCAACAGCCAGGCTACCTGGTAGCATTGGGATATTTAAACTCATGAATGCGTCAACTAATAAATGTTGGAAGAATAATTATATAGTTAAGTGATGTTTCAAATGGGTACTTGATAATTGGTCAATCTGTTTACCAAACAAACAAACATGTCAGTGACCAAAGAAGTCAAGTGGTTAAACCTGACAACTACAGTATGTTGTAAAAAGCACACACTCATTAACAGCAGTCAGCAGAATGTTTGCGGTGTTGGCATGTCATCCATGTGCCATTAAATTTTCATTTCCAGTGTTAATGTTTTGTTGTGAATTTTACAGCCTATTATCATTAATTAAACAGTCCAAAATAACGCAATGCTAGAGTTAAATGTCGTGCAGCATTGTGAGGATTCACTTTCATCCTCTGGTCGCTCCAGCTGTGAACAACTGGGGGGAAAAAAACACTTAATTGATATTGTTGATTGTTAGCTAAAGCCTTGGGTTATAAGTTTAAAGCAACCCAAGACACCAAGGGTTTATGTGTTGAGAAATGTTGTAAACTCAGCTATTACATCTTAATTATTTATAGTATGATTTGGCATTATAACACCATCAAACAGCCCAGACTGTGGTGAAAAGGTGATATCAGTTACTTCACTGTATCTTCCAATACTGAATATATACTATTTTTTTACACAGCAATTTTATATGACCACATTATTTATGTAGAAAAATGTTGTTTTGGTGAAATTTAAAACAATGTAGCCTTGATAAAAATGTATAAATTCATTCACTGATCAAATCGGGAAAAAAAAAAAAAAATGGAAATGTGTCATGACTAACAGGGAGTGATTAGAATAATAACTAGTCCTGGCCCAGTTGCAAAATTATCATCACTAGTTCCTTTAATTTAGGTTACACGTTCAATGTGACTTTTTCCCTTGACCTTCAAAAGTCTAGGATGAATTGATGAGCCACTTATATCATAGGATTAAATGCTTGGAGTGATATCTAATAATATAAGCCCACAAGAAACTAAATCCTGGGCAAAGAACAAATTTACTTTTGTGTAATACTGTCTAAATGGACTACCGCCAAACAATTTGCTATAATCCACATATCAACACTGATACAGGGAAGCAGAGTGCTTTGACTTTTGCTGTAGTGGTCTACGATATTAAAGAGAGCAGCACGAAACAAAATACACACCAAGTACAAAGACACACAGCCTTGCTGTAACTGTGACAAATACAAGAAGGTAAAAAGTTGAGCCATATCAAATCATCTTATCCAGTGAAGCCCTTATGCTCCCTTTAGCTACTCTTCAAAAGAAGTGGTTCAGTACCAAGTGATGCAACACTCTGTGCAGTCAAACTGATTATCCCTTTAAAGTTGTTCAGGTGGATGACTGTACAATGGGTTACCTGCATGCCCATGTTTCCCATCAGGGGGAGCCTCTGGTCATTCATTCTTCCTCTGTTTCCTCTAAAATCTCCCATTCCGAAGCCAGGAAAACCTCCTCTTCCTCTGCCTCCTCGCCCTCCTCCTCCGCCTCCTCTGCCTCGGCCACCATACCGGTTTTGTCTCTTCTGCCGCTCTTGTTCCTCAAACTCCATTAAGTCTTGCTTGGCCTTCTCTGATAGCTCTGATGAAATAGGAAACAAAGTCAGCGCTTGTAAATTAACTGTCTGCGGAAAAAAAAAAACTGTATAAATACATTTATTTAACAGTGTACAGGGAGAGCTTTAATGTCAGAAAATACTTGAGGATTCACTCTGGCTGTCAATAAATCAAGAATAAATTATGCCTAACAGGAAGAATTTGTACCAAGCGTCTCAGGGATGTTCCTCCTTTTGTTGCCTGCATCTGCCAGGCGCACAACAGCGCCATCCTTTCTCTCAGATTTGAAGCGTATGCGGCCAGACTCTTCATCTTCCTCGTCTTCCTCCTCAGATTCCTCCTTTGCTTCATCTTCAGGCATAGTTGTATTATCACCCTGGAAACATTTTTTTGAGATTAAAAACAGAAGTCTACATTTTCTTTATCATTTTACTTAATAACTGTGTGCAAATTCAGGTCAGTGGTGAGACGCTTTACTTACTTGTGTTACATTTTTCTCATGGTTTTCAATGCATCTTCAGATAATAAGAAAAATTAATGTGTTTTTTGTTGCATTAAATTGTATATACCAAAGTCAATGGTGTAGCATTTTCCAAATTCAACAGTTAATGGTGTCCCAAATGGTTAAAGTGATTAGCATAGAAATGCAACATCACAGCCAGTGACCTGTAACTTCTTCCAGAGAATAAAGCTAAAAAATTTAGTCAGAATCGTTTTTCAGTTGCAAGCAATTTTCAACTTCTCAGTATAAATTTTCTGAAACAAATTAGAATGATAAAAATGACACCAGTGCTTTGATTGCATCATATATAATTCCTGCACCGCTCAACACTCCCGCGCTAAGTTTCAACAAGGAATTCTGAAATAAATGCAATAAATGTAAAGGTGGGACGTCTTAGCATACTTCTTCTGTCTCATAGGCGTGAGGTCCCTCAGTGGCGTCTTCTTCATCCTGCTGCTCTTCACCCCCCATCTCCTCGGGGTTCTCTTCCTGTTGGACTCCATCTTCATCAAGAGGCGCAGCACCGTAGGAGGTTTGGTATTCATCATCCTGTAAAGACGATAAGGACGAAACGTAATGATAAAGTTGTAACAGCTCTCCGATAAGGATTAGCATTGTAAGCATTGCTGGAAAAACAATCTCTTTCTGCTGAAAATAAAAAATTGTATTTATGCTAAGCAATGTTGATATAATGAGGGGCAAATAATTAAAACATAACAAGTGAAGGGCTAAAATAAATACAGGAGGGCTGATGATACACCTTACTTGGCAGTTTAGTCAGATAAAATCTGAACATTTTATGAAAAAAAAGACAAAAATCATACCGAGCACACACAATAAAATGTTATGGTGAGGATTTTGGGGAGGCACCAGGCAACCCCACCCCTTCCGAACCCAAATTACCATAACAGTGGGAGCAAGGCTTCATTACTATTCCTGACAGCATTTGAAATTCAATGACATGTAAATGTTTGACATGATATACAGAAATGCAGGCACAGATAAAAACACTCCTCCCCGCTTCAATGATGGTGAAAATATCATTGACTGACTCCTCACAAATCACTCCGTTATTGGCCGCACTGTAAGTTCATGACTCCATGCCAAAAATGCAGCAAAGATGCAGACATTCTGGGAGATGACAAATCTTTTTTTTCCCTTTTCTTTCCATTCCATAACAAGATTTCCTTTCACCTCATGATGCAACCGCTTCATATAATCCCAAAAACACATCTTGTTTATTTCATAAAATCAACAAGCAAGGTTTGTCAAATAGCTGCTATCAGATGTGCTAGTAATTCCAGTATTCTCGGTGCAAAACACCCTCGAACAAATACTATTTGCAAAAAAAAAAGGTCAGACTGCAGGTCACACAATAGTGTTTGGTGTTGTGCTCCATTAACCTGCCAACAGCTGTATGTATAAATGGAGAAAAGAAGAAAAAAAAAATCACTCTTAGCAAACCAGACGGACCGACAGCCTGCCCCAAGGGAACACAACAGCTTAATCCTTTAAACTGTTCCACAAAATGCTCAATGAATGCCATGGTGAGCAAAATGTCAAGGTCAGGCAGGTTAGTGACCTTGTAAACAGTTATTGCACATAATTCAAATACACATCCACACCTGCAGACATCTCCCAAAATCCAAAAAAGGCAGCCACTTGTGCTAAGAAGGTCAACATCTTATCTTTATTTGGAGAAAGGAGGTAGGCTAATATATCTCTGTCAGGTGCCAAACACAATCACACCACAGTAAATGGACCATAACAGACATTTGCACATGGATCCGCTCTTATCTTTGATCCTCTTAGCCTGGGCTAAGAGGAAAGGGAAACGAATAAAAGGGAAACTCACATCAATCATTAGAAAACTGTATGGAGTGTCCTCAGGAAGGTCAATAATCTTTTCACCTGCATGAGACTTTATCAGATCCAGTCTAAAGCCAGAGATAAAAGCCCCCCACATTAACCTCTGCCGATTGGCAGCACATCTCCCCAACACAAAGCAGCTTCTTACTCCCCCAAAGATACAGGGCCCAAGGTCACAATGGCACAGGGATTTGGAGGCGACAGCAGAGCATTACCTCACGCCAAACAAGCTGTCAACAAAACTTTGTCAGCAAGATGGAGAAATGAACTGGAAGGAAGTGATAATGAATCTAATCCTCCCCTGCCCAAAAACGCCAACCAACATCTCCTTCTCCTGAATAGATTTTCAATCCTGACTGTCCCCTTACCGAGACAAGAAAACTGACATTATCTCTTGGATACAATAGAGTTGGACAGAAAGGAGAGTGGGAGGATGTGTGTGTGTGTGCGTGCGTGATTGTGTGCTCGATTGTGTGCGCACGGGCTTTTACATGTGAGTAAGCAAATGTGAGAACTCACTTGAAATTCACTATCTATGGGCTCATTGATTTGGATGTCTAGCACTTCATCCTGGTAGCCATCGTCGCCGTCTGCCATCTCTCCGGTGTAATCCATTTGGTCTTCAGGCATCCCCGTGTTGTCTTCCTGACTGTATTCGTTCGTATATGCCTCTTCCCCCTCTTGCTGATAATGCTCCTCCTCTACATCCCCTTCTTCACAGCCCTCTGCACCCAGGTTCACAACATCATCTGTGTAGTCTGCTTCCTGCGAGTTGTCCTGCTGGTCATCGGATGTGCCCAGGTCGTATGTGGCATTGAGGCTGACATACTGAGCGCTGAAAACAAACAAAAACAATAAACAATCCAAAAAAACATGAATGGAACATGATGGAAATATAAACGAAATTTTAAACCGAAAAGAGAAACTTGAAAAAAATAGCAATGATGTCGGATGACGAACTACCTCGCGTTCATTTCTTCATCATCACTTTGAAGAAGGTCATCATTCAGCTCTTCATCTGATACTTCGGAGGGATTCTAAAACAAACAAAGGAACATTATTGCGTGATATTTTAAAATTGTGTTCCACTTTTCTTCAAATGTGTATGTGTGTGTGTTCATGTTGTGGGGGCAGGGGACCACCTCCAACCCCAAAGGATGCTCTATTCCCATGTGGTGAAGGCAATCTGGGCAGGTCAACAAAATGCTTTTTTGTCCACTGTACTTCCTCCTGGTTCACATCAACAATTCCCCCTGTGGAGGAGCCACCTGCTACAAAGGCCACTGCTCACGTATACATTGTAAATGTTCGCTATCACCTAATGTTCAGATTATATTTTTCCCCTTGTAAGCAAACAAACCATACCAAGACACCAAGTGCTGTTTTGGTGCCAAGCACGAAAACACAGAAAAGAAAAAGTGAAATTCAAATTGTTTTTGCTTGTTCTTACCTTTTTACCTGACAGCCAATCCTCCTCCAACAATTCGTCTTCCAAATCACTGTTACGGAGAAAATACCAACAACAAATTAGCAGAGTCACATAATAGGGGATTGTGTTATTCATTTATAAATAACTGTATGCTGCTTTACATAATACTGTCACGCTGCCTATTTTATTATCAGATAAAATCTTGATTAAGATATACTTTACTGTCGGAAAGAAAAATTTGTCTTGAGCAATAGTGTCACAGTACAGCTACAACATCAAAACATTTACCATAACATACAGAGAAAAAAGAAAACTTTACTCACAGTCTGATATTTAGAGTGAACCAAACAGCTGGAATACATTAAGCTAATTTTGCAATTTTTATAATATCCCTTTTTCATAATATTTTCAAGAGAATAAATCAAGTTAATCTGCAATAATTAAGTTCTCTGTTTAACTATAAAGCCTATTATGATTTTTTTTAATAGCAAAGGTTGCAGTGCTGTCTCATTCCAAACATTTTAAAATGTAACTAAACCACATTTTTGCAAACTACACAGTATAACGTATTCGAACTTTCATATGATAACCGGTTTCCACAAAAGTAACACACCTTTCCGATGAAACAGAGTGCGCCCTACCTGAAACCAGTTCTACGCATGCCAACACTTGGGGCTTGACTTACCAAATACATTTTTTTTTTATACACAAAGATCATGATTTGTGATATGTTTTTTTAAATATGAGACATACTGTAGCTTCAAGTCTTGTGGACAGACTACAGATCAAAGGCTAAAACCAGACTTTGTTTGGAATTTTAACTGAGCAATTAAGTGCTGCTTTATGGGGGGAAAAAAATCGTATTTAAGCAATACACACCAAGTTGCACTGTATATTAGCTAAAATGAAGCTGCTTTACATAAGTCGATGTTTTGTGTTTCATGGATAATGACGTTTGTAGGATGGAGTTTATTACAATATCGAACCTGTTTTGATAGTGACGACCTTAGCAGGCTATAAAGGAAATACAGTACAGCATGTACAGACGGGAGAGCCCGACACCATGACTTACCTCTCTAGATCATCATGTTGACCTCTCCTCCTGCGTGACCGCTCAGCACCGGGTTTGTCATATTCATCAAAGTCATAATCTGCAACAGAAAGGCAGTTTTACAAACAGATCGGCTCTCGTCAAAGCGATTATTTATACTAATAATATGGCCCCTTTTCACAAATGGCCTACGTAGCCACAGCACAGTTCACAGTAGAAACTAGTAAACTCTTTAAATTTGTAATCATGACTGTTGTGCAAAAATATAAAAGCTATCCAAAGATTTAATTCACGAGTCCTGAGTTACAGTTGTAGTTTTACATGTTTATAATGCTGCCCTGTTATCAGATCATTTTAGTTTGTAGTTGTTCCACCTAATCCTCAACAAGAAATTGTCTTCTCATCATATGTCATCCTATCCTTTGTCTGATCATTAACAACAAATCTCTGGCATAACGTACACCTATAAACATTATGTTTCCACAGGTTTTCCCAGCCTTGCCAATACATAACATTTGTCACACTGGCTCTACCCAAGGGAGCACAGCCACTGTGAAATCAGGCAAAGGGCAACCTTTGATTCCCTCAGGGTCACACAGTAGATAAGAAAAACATAACCAGAGCAATGACACCACACACACATTCTCGAAAAAAACATTTTATATAATACAACACGATGTTGACAACAATGTCAAACTGATTTTTTTTTTTAGGGATACTTGGTTCCAACAACGTTTGCTCTGCTCCATTTACTTCAACAAAACTGGCACAGGCACTGACTGTGATATAACTGTTACTTCAGACTGACAGAGTGAGGTCTATCTGTGTGGGTCAACCTGCAGGAGCCGACACTTCCTCACAGGGTTGTATTTTTAAATCGCAATTAACAAAACTGGCAACTCAACATTTTGGCACTGGCTAAAACCTCGATAGTGGAAGACACCAAAAATCCCTCTGTGCAGGAAAAACCCTGTTTCATGACCTTCCTTTCAAGCAAGATCTAAATCTCCCTGACTGTGGTGAACAAGCACTACAATCAGAAATGGAAACTAAATAATATTTGTCACTTCACTGATATAAAAAACAAAGAGAGGGAAAGAAGGGGGAGGGAGCGAGGAGAGTACAGCTAGAAAAAAGAGTGAACTTGAAACTTTTAGTTGTTTTTTTAAAGTCTTTCAAACTACACTGCAGAGAGGTGTCAGTGCTAACATACATCCTTTCTATGGCGGGCAGCTCTCAGTATAATGCAATTAATTTTGCACCAGTGAGTTGTTAAATGGATCAGATAGACAGTACTCACAAACTTATAAACACAGTAAATGTTGCATGGATAGGCGTACCAAGCCAAGTTTTTTTAGTTGTTGTTCTATTTCTTATTCATTAGATGCATGTAAATAACTGGATAATTTAGCATGTGAACTTAACCAAGATAAAAGCCACAGCCTGATGTAAATGTGGAAAGCCAGGCACCAATTCCAATTTTCATTCTTGCTTGTAAAAAGCCACAAAAATAAGAGCTACACTGACCTGTTACCAAACTGACTATTAGCTAGCTGCCATGACTGAAGCTACTGAGTAAATTACTGACTAACTGATTTATAGCAAGGCGTGTTCTAATTTATGAGTTGTATTAGCACGTTGTACTTAAATACATCACTAGTTATTATTTGACTGGCTAATTTGGGAAGAGGCGAAGGTAAAGCTTGGACATCCAGCTTTAATGTGCTTATAACTCCTACCATAAACCTGGTGCACGAACATCACCAACTCTATGGACGTGTATGGACTGTGACTATAACTGATGAGCTGATAGTATATTCTGATGGTGTCTACAACTCGATGCTAATCAAACACAGCAGCAACGTATAGAACAATATGGAATAAACACACCGCGCAAACTGCGTCATAGTGCCTTTTATACACACATGCAGTCTTGAGTTTATACCAACTCGCAACCAGGGGAGGAAATAAAATCAAGTGGGTTAGGTAAGTTAACGAGCTAAACAAGCCGTCACAATTAGCAAAACAACTGCATTCTCTGTGTGAAGGGTGGTATGTGCTGTCAAAGTTAGCTAGCCTCTAGCAGGAGCAGCGCTACAGAAGCTAACGCTATATGCGAGAACAAACGTCCGACGTTATGAAGCTATTATACACTTTAATCGCTATCATAGCAGATTAAAATTTCAAAAGTTAGTTACAATTCAAAGAAAACGTCTGTATTACTCTGGACTAAAGTTACCTAATCAAGAATTAGACATTTTTGGCATTACTTTGGTAGCTAGCTTGCTTGCTAATAATCTTAGCAAACAGCTAACAACTATATATTTAAGCGAAAACGATGTCAGCCTTTTAGCTTAGTTTCTGGATTTCAGTGAATATAAACTGACTTCTGCCGCTAATTAAACGCAGAGCTTTAAAAAACATGGCTGCTTATTTATATTTCGCTTAAACATATTACCGTTAACAACTTAGCGTCAGGCAATGGTGCTCACTGACGTTTCTTCGCGCTAAAGCTATTTTAGCTGACCACAGCTGCGGTCCGCCGTTCGGCCTACTGACTCCTGCCTTGTTTTCAACCGCTCTTAGCAGTTGCTAGCCGCATTAGCTCAGTTTAGCTCCACTGCTAACTTAGCATTGTCGACAAAAATCCGCTGACATTACTCACCCTGAGCGTTGGCCGACATGTTGCAAGGCCCGTCCCGCTTAGAGTCTGACTACAAAACTGCAGAGTGCATCTAATCGTCAGTATTTGACCATTATGATGGCACAAAACATAAAACTAGCAAACGAACAGCGTCAATGCGGCAATGATTTCGAACCGCGACCAGAGTACAAACATGGCAGTGATGTGTTTGCAGCGATGATGCATTGTGGGTGGGGAAACACCAAGTCCCTCGTTTGCCGCACGAAAGCGAGCTGCTTGACAGGCCAAGTAAACACACTGGCTGACCATTATACATCTGATTTATAGGCTGTCTACCCTCGAATTTTGCATGTAGCTCTTTGCAAGTGTTGGCTGTGCGATCAAACAATCTGCACCACTGGATAAGGTTCGCAGCTGATTGAACATAAACGCACACCTCATTAACAGATTTTATATTATCTGTAAATAACTAGGCATTTCCTTTATGAGTTTAGAATTCTAAACTATTGGTACGCTATGAATACATATTATTTTAAGTTTATTTCTCTGAAAACTGAAAACATGGCTCTACAAAACCTCAATAAAAGTTAGGTATTTATATTTGTTTTATGATGACTTGTATTACAACAAGCAACCAAACAACAAAGTCATTATTGCTTCATCAGAAACAGTTGCACATTCTCATGTACTTTCTCTCCTTATTTGTACATTTCATTCTACTTTTTCCTGTTGCTTTAAACATTTAGCTTGTTAATCCATTTTTTCACAATTTAACGTTGACAGGAAATGACTACTTCCACACGTTTCATGTAAAAACAAGAACAAGACACACAAAGCTGAATTTATACACACAATATGTAAGTAAGATGACGGTACAAAAGTCAGAGAGTACATTAAAAATAATAAGTCATCTTGAGGATTTAGAATCTAATTTTAAAAAATGAAGTTAAAACATGTAAACATTAAGAAGAAATTTTAAAATGATGCACTATTTCTATGTCAATGGTGTTGACTGTTCTGACTCCTTTGTGCAAGAGGTCAGATTTCCTTGAGTTGTGTCAGTTCCGTTGAAGCAGCATGCAGTTAACACCCAGATAGATCTGATTAACTCATTGGAGGCTTGTTCGAGTAATGCAACTTGCAACCAGAAATATGGCTATGCCTCCATATTGCTTAAAGTGTGATAGTGGGAAGCATGGGCATCAGAACTAAATGAAAGTATCGGGGGTGAAATTGTTATTCTGGGCAAAGAAGGGATTTCTCATCATCAAATATGGCTATCTTGAAGATTTCTAAGGGGGCAGTACATGGCAGGCAGACCAAAATGAGCACACCATCAAAAGATCGATACATCATGCGGCAGGAAAACAGATTCATAACAGACACAGAGTTTAATTAGTAAAGAATCCAAAACTCCAAACAGCAAGTGAAAAGAAGGCTTCTAATAGTGGTCTCAGAGGATGAGTGTCTCTAAACAAGCACAGGGGGAGACGAGGCTAAATGGTTGAGGTGGGCTGAGATGTAGCAGCATTTCACAGTGGCTCACTGGGGGAAAAAAAAAAGTCCTATTTAATGATGAATCCAAGTTGGAGATGTGGCAATAACAGAAGGATGTATGTAAGAAGACAGACAGGATAGAGAACGATATGGCAGTATGTAAAACACACAGTGAGACATGTTGGTGGGAATATCCATTTCTGGGCGTGTTTTGCCACTCTAGAGTTGGACAGCTGAACCAAATCAACCACATCTTGACCAAGGAGAAATAGCACTCCATTTTTTAGAGACATACAACACTGTCTTTTTTTGCATCTCTGTGGAGAAGCATTGTGCAGCAGAATACATCTAAGCTCTGCAAGGAACCACCTGAAGACCAAAGAAGAGCTGACTGCAAATTAACTTTCCTCCACAGTCACCTGACCTCATCCTCAACCCAGCATTATCAGATCATGCTGGGATGATACAGGTTGTCAGGTTGTGCACAAACTTGCAAAGTTCATTTCAAACACAAGGGTGGGGGTAGTTTAAAAAAATTGAAATACATTTTTAAAAAAAATCAAAATAGAAGCATCGTCATTAGTTTTCTCAGACTTTTGAACTCCACTGTAAATATAAGTAAATGTTTATGCAATGTTAGTCCCTAAACTTGCTTTCTCAGTGTTAATAATTAAATTAGAATTACCTTACAAAAACACCAAGGCACAAGGATGGGAAAACAGAGTATTTAGTACAGATAAAATGTACAATTATTGTTGAATCACACAAGATTAACACTGAGAAGGTAGATCATACTGATAAGATAGAGAGATTTGGCTACATTGAGAAAATATTACAATGCTAAATAAAATATTAAAACAATATCATGACCTGATATATTTGTGCATGCTTCACACACATATTTGCAATGGCATTTTCATCTTACATGGACACATCAGTGTAGCTCTACTTCATTCAGTTCTGTACTACATTATTTTGAGATTATCGTCACGCAGGGTTAACTGGTGGGGGTCAGGGCTCATAGATTGTTTCTGGATTGGGGTCTCTGACCTGCTTCACAGTCAGATTTTGTGTTGTATTGTCTTGAGATGAGTTTGACACATTCCTAGGGACAGAATTTTCACTCCCTCTCATCAGTCCCATTTTTCTTCACTATTGCAGGCGGGTTTCAGAACAACAGTTAATTGCATCCATCAAACCGTAAAAATGCGAAAATATGAAATATTCCTGGTTTTTGATATTATTACTGCAGCCAAGATGTATAAATGCTTGCCCTTTTCAAACCTTGGTCACTTTGGCTGAAATTCAAAATGTGGCCTAATCTTTATTCAACTCACTCCTTTGATTTTTCTTCCCTGTAAGGTCAAAGCCTGTTTATCTCTTAGCAAATTTTTTTCCTCTTTTGTGCTTAAGTCTGGGAGTCAAAGTTAGTGTCTGAGTCTACCGTTAGACTACAGCAGAATTCTAACCCCCAAATTCCTCCTGGGCTGACAAACGTCAACAAAGACCCCGAGAGACACCAAAGAGAGGTGAGCAGTGAACTGAAGCCTCATTGTATTGGCTCATTATGGGGTCCCGCAGTGAGGAAGAAGCTATTTTGTAGCACCACAAGGTCAATATCTGAAAGCCAGGGCGATGGAGGGGATCAGCCGTGAGATTTTTAATTTGAGAAAGCGTAAAGGGACTTTCCTGGTGAAAGACAGTCTGTGAATTCTAATGGACTGCAGGGACTGAACAGACAAAATGTTGAGTTGGCATATGTTTTCCTTTTCGATTTTAAAGTAATATGAAATGCAATTTTTACACAGTACTGCAACCTCAAAGACATAACCTTGTATATTGCATGCAGGCAATGCTGCATTGAAGGCTATCAAGCCAATCTTTTTAATAGTGTACAAGTTAAAACTGAAATAAAAAACAGCAAGGCCCCATTTTTACTGATTTTGTAGCCTGCAACGTGCTTTCTAAACTCATAAAAGCTTAATGTTTCTGCTTCTCAAACTCTGCAGGTGCAATTCATATCAATATACAATCCACACTTTATAAAATGTCCATTCAAAACATCTGTTTCCAAAGCTTTATAAGATATTTCTATGCTACTTGGATTCACTTTCCCAGGAATTTTGATTTTACTTCCAAATAGATTTGAAAAGGGGAGCTGTCACACTCTATTATGGTGACCTCAATGATTCTGTGCTCTATCCAAATCCAGCGGTTTTCCATAACAATGCAAATTAAAGGGTGCAAAGCCGAAGGAGACAAGACTTGTTATTTTCCATCCAAAGGACAGCGGTTCTTTACAACAAACTTGCCTGTATGCCTTGTGTAGACTTTGACAGAATTTCAATGCCAACTTGGAAGTTGTTCTGCGTGAGACAATGAGGTTTTGATGTCAGTTCATGAGGATCAGCAACTGTCTTGAGAAAGTGATACTAGAGCTGTGGAACGGGGCCTGCAAGAGATTATTTTGTGAATGAAAGAAAGTTTAGATTTTAAATAAATGAATAGGCCATATGTCATTTTTTCAGCTAAGACCTTCTGGTACTGGTTCGAGACCCAAGTTTGGGCTCCAAATCAGTATCAAGTTTGAACAATTTTCTAAATGAGAGCAAGTTACCATGTGGTGATACATGAAAACTCTACCAGGGAAATTTGCTTTGGGCAGCTTTGTAAATGTGTAGCTGAATCCCACAACTTCCCTATATAAAGGATTAGTTGAGCTTCCATTGTGAGCATGTATAATGCGGAGGAGCAAGTTATTCTATTTTAGGAACAATACTACACCCTGCTCTATAGCATATGTACACTTTAGCACAGGTTTAGTGTAGGCAATGCACACAAAAAATATAAAAATAAAAAAATCATTGGGCACTTATATATTATTAGTATCATTTATTCTTAATGGTTTTTAGGACATGCCTATTGCAATACTGAAATTTGCTTTGGACATTAGTAAAGTGTTCTATCTATCTATCTATCTATCTATCTATCTATCTATCTATCTAGCTGTATAAATTGCAGTCAACTGTACCTAGTCATGTGCCATATTTTAAAAAAACATGCATACATATAAATCAATGAGGCATATGGAATACACAGCTCTCATATCCTTATCCTAATTGTATGTACATGTCTGAGGCAATTATATATGATTTCTCTGTAATACATAATAGCCTGCATCCCTGCCATTTTCCCACAGTGAATAGGCTGCAGTCAGTGACCCACATCTCAGTGCAATGAACTGCTTAACTCAGACTGTTGTTTTATTCAGTGCACTGTCAACAGACGGCTGAGGAGGCGGAGGGGCGGGGCTTACACTTATCGGCCGCCGTGATTGGACGCTGGACCCGGCTCCCTCTCCGCGATTGGCCGTCTCGCGCTGTCACTCCGGATCTGTTATCATCGCTTCCCGCGCCATTCGGCGTGCACGCGCGAGAGCACCGAGCACGTAACCGTTCGGAGACTGTCTGGAGTCTGTCTGAAATTGATAAAATTGGAAATGGAGTTTTACGTCCCTTCGCTCATTCACCGGGAAGCCGCCGGCTGGAAAAAGGGGAATCTTTGCCGTCCTCGTCAGACGCCTTCGCCCATGAGTCGCCACGCTCAGTCGAAATATTTTTTTAGATAAACGCTGTGAAAGTTTTTTCCTCCTGCAGTCTATCAGCAGACAGCTCTTTATGTACAGGCAGGTAAGGCGAGCGCCGGAGTGCAAGTTGTCTAACATAT